TGTACACTTGTAGAACTTTCTCACCTGCATATTTGCTTGAGCGTACACTTTGCAGCATTGGCGCAGTAAATAATCATCATCACATAAATCATCTCTGATTATGTGGCTTCAGTGTTTCACTTTATGTACCAAATTTAAAACCTGAGCAGCCAAATAAAAGGAGGGAAAATTTAGCCACAGATCCTCTTTGGTTCTAGCAATCATCACAACATTCTTCCTGTTGGTGAATTTAATGTCATACTCCATCCCATACTAAGCAACTGTTGTAAACCAGCACTGTAGGGAGAGAAGACCACCAGATCACCAGCATGAGATGTTTGATGAGATTCTCTCGCCGTACATCTGGTCCTGCACACTCTGTTTAACTGACAGTTCATCCATGTATAAGTTAAAAAGAATAGGTGGCAAGACTCCACCCTGGAGAACATAATTTGACATGGAAAAAGAGGTGATACACAGCTGGCCCATTTCACCCGCAGTTTGGTGTTCGTATCGGCGTGTTTTAAAATCTGTATCAAATACGAGGAAGCCCCTCGCTCTTTAATTTACTCAAAGGTTTCCCATGTTGAACTTGGTCAAAAGCTTTGTTGCATCAATAAAACACAAACACAGAGGAATTGTGTTTTCTATACTGACACAACTTCCTTCAGTGCATAAATACCGTATTTTCCGGAGTAAAAGTCGCTCCAGAGTATAAGATGCACCAGCCATAAAATGTATAATAAAGAAAAAAAATATATATAAGTCACACTGGACTATAAGTCGCATTTTGGGGGGAAATGTTATTATTTTTCTTACAAAATCTGAGACCAAGCATTTTACATTGCAAGACAAGTACCGGTAACAATAACAGAATGAACAACCAGCTGTTGCATCAGCGGTATGCGCAGCAGCGTGCCACGGTCTCCAGCAGAGGATGGCGGTGTTTGAAAGCCTCCCAGCGGGACAGGGGAGCTCCTTCCTGGGTAGGAGCCGGCCAGTAGCAGCGAGGTATACAGAATTTGGTATAGAAGTCGTAGGGCCAGCCAGACTATGAAAAACAGTGTGACTTATAGTCTGGAAAATACGGTACACGGATCGGTACAATGTCCTTCAAAACCAAACTATGAGTCTGTAGTTATGACATATGGTTGAAGTGTTTCCAAAAGTACATATTCAAATACTTTTGACACTACATCTGCCAAAACAACAAAATAATACAAAAATGTTGTCACATTCTTCTCTGCCAGCATGCTTTTATTTTGAAATATATTCTGAAAGACAAACACTTCCTGACCTCCCGGAGAAAAAATCCACTTGCGTCCTGTGGAGGGGTTTTAAAATGTCGCCAGCTGTTAAAAATATGGCCCCTTTTTTTAAAGTTATGCCCTGAAGGATTTCCTTCATACAGTTTTATCTCCAAGAATCAACGCTTGAGAACCAACTTTTTTTCTACGCTTGTTTCCTGCTTAGACATCTAGGTTCTCATATCAACTTTTCTGTTTTATTAAGCTTTCGGTAGCAGTATCTACATTTTCTTCACTTGATTGATCAATTAGGTAGAAGGTTTAGTTTAATTTGTCTTTGTCTGCAGGTGTTAAACAATTTCTGAATTTTACAGAATGTATCTTTAATAGGTCTGGTATTCATTATTTTATGGGATTCTATGTTGTAAAAGCTCAACTAAGCGGCACATCTCTGCCACTTGTCGGTGTAAATCTTTAACTTCAGTCCCCTAAAAATTTTATCTTTTGATGATTTTGGCTTTTTATAAACAGAAAATCTTGTTATACAAAGGTTTGAGATTTCAATAAAAAGCCTTTTGGTGAGAAAATATTACATTAATAAACTTTTCCCTCAGTTTTCTCCGTGTCTGGTTTGATGACGTCACTTTCGTGAAGCGCATTTGTAATCCTGGACTTATTTTCACACACAACCTAAAATAGTGTTTCCCCCGTTCAAAAATAAGTGCGTTCTTGGTATCAAAATGTGTCTTTAAAATTTACGGACATCATATGTGAAATCCATGGCACAAAACAAGCAGAATTTGAAATATGTGTGGTTTTTAGCCGTCCGGAAGGAGATGGGCGTGACTTAGGTTCCCTATCCCATGTCCCAATGATTTTTTTTTTTGTTTAAAAAAAATGATGATTTGGGGAACTACTGCCACCTACAGGCCTGACATGCCTATGAGTGTGCTTCACAAAGCAGTGGATTTTTTTTAATGAAAACGAGGTGGTGTGGTGTTTTTTTTTTTTTTTTTCCAAGATGGGCGGGTTTTACATTTTTAACAAAACCCTGGCTATGTGTGTACAGGTGCTGGCCAGTAAATTAGAATATCATCAAAAGGTTGAAAATATTTCAGTAATTCCATTCAAAACGTGAAACTTGTACATTATATTCATGCAATGCACACAGACCAATGTATTTCCAATGTTCATTACATTTAAATTTGATATTCATAAGTGACAACTAATGAAAACTCCAAATTTGGTATCTCAAAAAATTAGAATATTCTGAAAAGGCTGAATATAGAAGACACCTGCTGCCACTCTAATCAGCTGATTTACTCAAAACACCTGCAAAGGCCTTTAAAAGGTCCCTCAGTCTTGTTTTGAAGGCACCACAATCATGGGGAAGACTTCTGACTTAACAGCTGTCCAAAAGACAATCATTGACACCTTGCACAAGGAGGGCAAGACACAAAAGGTGATTGCTAAAGAAGCTGGCTGTTCGCAGAGCTCTGTGTCCAAGCACATTAACAGACAGGCGAAGGGACGGAAAAAATGTGGTAGAAAAAAGTGTACAAGCTCTAGGGATAACCGCACCCTGCAGAGAATTGTGACGACAAACCCATTCAAAAATGTGGGGGAGATCCACAAAGAGTGGACTGCAGCTGGAGTCAGCGCTTCAAGAACCACCACGAGGAGACTCATGAAAGACATGGGATTCAGGTGTCGCATTCCGTGTGTCAAGCCACTCTTGAACAAGAAACAGCGCAAGAAGCGTCTCGCCTGGGCCAAGGACAAAAAGGACTGGACTGATGCTGAGTGGTCCAAAGTTATGTTTTCTGATGAAAGCAAGTTCTGCATTTCCTTTGGAAATCAAGGACCCAGAGTCTGGAGGAAGAGCGGAGAAGCACAGAATCCACGTTGCATGAGGTCCAGTGTAAAGTTTCCACCGTCAGTGATGGTGTGGGGTGCCATGTCATCTGCCGGTGTTGGCCCACTCTGTTTCCTGAGGTCCAGGGTCAATGCAGCCGTCTACCAGGAAGTTTTAGAGCACTTCATGCTTCCTGCTGCTGACCAACTTTATGGGGATGCAGACTTCACCTTTCAACAGGACTTGGCACCTGCACACAGTGCCAAAACCACCAGCACCTGGTTCAAGGACCATGGTATCCCTGTCCTTGATTGGCCAGCAAACTCGCCTGACCTTAACCCCATAGAAAATCTATGGGGTATTGTGAAGCGGAGGATGCAATACGCTAGACCCAACAATGCAGAGGAGCTGAAGATGACTATCAGAGCAACCTGGGCTCTCATAACACCTGAGCAGTGCCACAGACTGATCGAGTCCATGCCACGCCGCATTACTGCAGTTATTGAGGCAAAAGGAGCCCCGACTAAGTATTGAGTGCTATACATGCACATTCTTTTCATGTTCATTCTTTTCAGTTGGCCAACATTAGAGAAACAAACATTTTTTCATTGGCCTTTAGAATATTCTAATTTTCTGAGATACCAGATTTGATGTTTTCATTGGTTGTCACCTATAAATATCAAATTTAAATGTAATGAACATTGGAAATACATTGGTCTGTGTGCATTGCATGAATATAATGTACAAGTTTCACGTTTTGAATGGAATTACTGAAATATTTTCAACCTTTTGATGATATTCTAATTTACTGGCCAGCACCTGTACACAGCCTAAATTGAAAAGAGTTGCAGACAGAAATTGGAAAACAAAATGGAAAAATTGTTCTGCAAACATTTGTTAAAAATTGCTGTGACTTGGTAAAGAATATTGAGTACCCCATTTGAATACTTGCTAATTCTGTTCCCAATTATTACCAACAGCCACATCCCAGTGGGACACGGGCTCAAGGGCAGCCATTAAAAACCTTTTCTCTTTAGATGACAGCTAAACGTTACCAGTTCTTTGGATTAAATATTCAAGAGTAGCAGTGAAGTTTTCCTCCTCAGAGGTGCATCAGACCAGTCCAGATGTAGCCTGTACTCCTAAAGGTTCCTGTTCTGGGTCTACATCAAGAACCTGTTTTAGAACCAGGTAGCTTTTCTGTCAGGCACAGATATGTCTAGTAAATAGTGTGGCTTCATGCCTGTGTAGTGGTGGCATGATAAATTCATGTGTGTGTGTTAGAGCATCACATGTGCTACTTGCCTCCAGAGTCAAGTCAGTTACTAAGCAACAGCCATGCTGCAGAAATGTGAATCCGTACTGCAGACGGTGAGAACTGCAGGTGTCCAACTTCCTAGTCCTCCTTTAGAGTGTGAGACAGAAGCTGCTGACTAACCGCGCGTCAGTCGTATTATTTAAGGATTTCCACACCTTCAAAATGGATGTGATATTTTCACTGTCTGTGTGTGTGTGGGTGGGGTTTAATCACATTGTGTTACTTAGTGTCAGCGTGCGTTAAAACAAGTGATAATGTGATACAATGTCGGCTCAGCATGTCTTGTTTTTATGTGTTGTGTTGATTTGCCAAAAAGGTTTTCCCTAGCTTAACTCAGATATGTGGGAAACAGCTGTTTGAGATCAGCTGTTTTCCGACAAGTGTAAGTGTGTGTGTGTGTGTGTGTGTGTGTGTGTGTGTGTGTGTGTGTGTGTGTGTGTGTGTGTGTGTGTGTGTGTGTGTGTGTGTGTGTGTGTGTGTGTGTGTGTGTGTGTGTGCGTGCGCATTAGCGTACGTGCTAGCAGTTTGTCTGGGTGGGCTCTTTGTTTTGATTTCTTCTTTTCTTCTCTCCGTTCCAATGCTTCCCCCCTCTCCTATGCAGCAAGGACAAGTTTGGAAGGTTTGCAAAATTTATCACCTTCCACTGATAAATCTCCCTCCCTCTTCACCCTCCTCCAACTGCCTCCTCCTCCTCCCCACCTCCTCCTGGCTACCTGTACTGATCTGTTGGTCCCCGCCGTTGTTCCTCACTCCTCTTTGTATTTGAATCTGTAATGCTGAGAGATTAAACTGGGATTTATTCAAACCCACAGTGTAAAATGTGTCAAATTTTAATTTTTAGTCGTATTTAAAACCAAAAGGATGGTTCAGTTGTCTACAGATACATGCTACTGTAGGGGCCAGACATTTACTCCTCATGGGTCTGATTTGTAGCTTTTAATGATTGGTTTGAACTTTCCTTGAACTTACAACATCCATCTTTTTTTTTAAAAAGAATAGGTTTGTATTTATTGTGGAATGTCTTTTTCATACAGGTTCAAAATCATATTTACAAACTCAAAAAAAAAAATATATACTCCCGCAACTGTCCTTAGTGGAATGTTCCTAGCTAGTTGCTTCTGCATTATTTCTGCGAGATGTTTGACCATTCTTATTGGCAGGCTTTGGATGTTATTCTCCTTCTTTATTATCCTTCCATTTTCTGCACCAGTAACACTGTGCACAGCTAACCATAACCCTACCACCACCATGCTTGATAGAAAGCTCTCGTATTTCTTGTCATCATGGCTATAAAACCTTTTTATTGACAGTCTGGAATGCCCGTTTGGGATGCTTCAGATTTCAGTAGAGCTTTTCTTTCTTGGTCCTTCCAATCTATAGTGATATCCAACAAGCCTCACAGTGGACAGACAGGAATTTTCACCTGAAGGAGACAGGTGACCAGGTTGATCTGATCAGTGCCATCAATCAAAACTGCGGTTGTCAGTCATGGTCTTTGGCCTGGTCAAGTGAAGACACTCTACAGTCCTCTGCAACACTAACTAGAAGACCTGTGTGTATTTATGTTTATTTTTGAGCCTGTATAGAAGAGACAAACTACAATAAATGTAAACTTGTAAACACAAGTCTTGGTTTTAAAACTCGGCGAAGACACATGTTGTAGTATCATTCCCCTGGGAAAGAACAGTCCTGTCAGCTGCAAAGGCGAATATTTCAACCCAGGCTCACATGATTTGGACACGGGTTAAGAAAATCCATTATTTGGTTTTTGTAGATTAAAACTTTATCCATCAGGCAGTCAGCTAGCTCTTAGTGTCTAATGGGCCATTCCCATCTGTACCGGGTCGGCCCGGGCCGGGTAGCCCCAGTCGGCCCCAGCCTGGCCCAGTTGATTCCACACATCCTTGTCTTAAGCCCATGTGGGCTGATTCTACCCACCAATCAGAGGCTTGCTCTTATGGAAGGTGTGAATTTGCTGTCAGCAGTGGGTGTGTTGGCCCTGGTCGGCCTGAAGCAGACCCCCTCGAGAAGAGGGCTGAGAATGAGCCTTGGTTGGCCCGGAAAAATACCAGGCTACCCAGATATGTAAACAACCTACACTACCCGGCCCGGGCCAACCCGGTACAGATGGGAATGGCCCAATATAGTGGTTTTCTTGTGGTTCTTCTGTTTTAAATCTTATCAGACCCTCCATTCTTTTGAGCGTTTTTGTTCTTTTCTCAGTAGTTAATCCCATCTTGTAGAAATGAGAGCGCTCACATGGTGAGAAATGACAAAGATGAATTTACCACAGGGAGGAAGTGGTCTGTGGCGGGCTCAACAATTGCATCCAGTAATTAGCAGCAGTAATTAGTTTTTAGGTGTATGTTTCCCCGTCCCACTACTAGGTATTCATGGGTCCCCCGCCATATATCAGTCAAGAGTGGGGACCAATTGAGAAACTCAACCACTAATTGCTATGTGGAGTGTAGAAACGATGGTGGGTCCGTTCTGGTATCCAGGCAACAGCCTCTTGTTCCTTCCAGACCACTACTGATGTTCGGCTTACTCTCATGCCCTGTCCCTTCATTCACTGCAATCCTCCTTCCATCCATCCCTCCATCAGCCCCAACCAGAACCCAGCCAACCAGCTTATTGCACTAGCCTCCACCAGCACTAATGGCCAATACCGCAACATTAGTTATTTTCATCAGGTCTAAATATTTTTGCTACATTTATGCAAAGCTGTACTTATCTATGTCACAATAAAAAGAATGCGATTTAGCTGAAGGTGTGGTTGTATCTGCAAACAGTGCCCATGTTACCTGTGGGATAGAAAATAAATGAGTGCAAAATTGGTAATTTATTTAGCATGTTTCAGCCCTTAAAATGAATGCAACGTTAAGATAAATGCTGCATACATAAGAGTGTTACTTAACAAAAGTAAATGTTGTAATGTCAAATCATCACGACTTATCTGGAAAAAATATTTAAAAAATTCTGTTGAAAAATAGTTTGGTCACATACATGAGGCCTGTTTTTAATTTAAATTGTCAAATTAGGAACAACAAATCTTATTTTCTAGCAAATGTTGAACAATACGTATATTTTGAGTGATGTATTGACAAATAAGACATTTTACTCACAAAGAGCAGGATTTTACAGACAATTATGTTTGGGGTGTTACGCTATTATAAGGTTTATCGTAGGGCTGGGCAATATGGCAAAAAATCAATATCACGATATATTGAGGATTTCACCTCAATCACGATAAATGGACAATAACTACAGGTATGCGCAGTAGGGCTGTCGCGATTGAGGAATTCCCCCTGCGGTGAGTCAGGGCAGCTCAATATTGCGATATGCAATATTATTGCACCTCGTTTTTATTTATGTACTTAGCAAATTTGTTTGTTAATTACTAAACTCATGGCAATATTTCCTTTGAAACATTGTACTTACACATTTAAAAAATGTTAGAAAAAAATACATGGCCATTTTTAACACTTTATTGAATGCAGATCAAAGGGCAGTAACGGCATTCTCTGACTGAACTTAAAAACAACATTCAGGAGGTTTAACTTTGAAATGCAAATTTGGCTGCAACATCTAACAGAAATAAAAAAAAGTGCCCTACTATCTCCTCGATCAGCGCGGACTTTACCTCTCAGCATGCGCTGTCGCGAGATTTAATCAAGTGTGGTAATTGCGGTGGCACGTCATGCAGCGCAGTGGGTTTCTCAATATCGCGATATATTGTTCTTGCGATTATTGTGACAGCCCTAATGCGCAGAAACAAGAGTTGTCCACTAAATAGGGCTGTCACATGTGTTACGTTGAGTAGAAAAATAATCATTAGATTAATTGTCTAAATAGTCATTAGAATAGTTGACTATTTGATAAAATAATCGTTTTAAAATTTATTTTTCTATTGCACAGTTAATAAAAACCAAAAAATCTCTAATAAATTCCTAAAAAATTGATAAATTGTTACTGTAAGAGAATAAATACAGGCCTTCCATTCTGTATAACACTGCTTTTATTGTGTTGCGGTTGGTTATGTTCTGGTGACGTGTAGAACTTGGGAGCGCAGGCTGCTGCCTGAGAGGTGGTAGAAGAGGAGTGTCTCCATGCTGCTTTGTTTTGGTCACTTATGTGCGTGAGGCGAGTGGTGTTACGACCCTTCCTGGGGAGTTTGGCTTGTGTGCAAAAAGGAAGGGACCATAACATGGGATTTAAAAGTTAAAATGATTATCAGATTTATTTACAACAACACAAAAAACATAAATATTTCCATCCACAGGTTGGGAATAATAAACTAATTCTGCCTGTGGGGAATTAAAACAAAAGTACAAATAACTAGGGATGTCCCACTGGGCAAAGATTACAGGATTCTGGACCAAAATGAGAATCTCCAAAGGTCCAGACTATAAACTGGGTGGTTAAACCAAACTCAAGGTGATATTTTAAACTAAACCAAAAACCCACAACACTCTAAATGTAATAAAAGGGAGATCTACACCACAAAAAAAATTTACTCTCAACCAAAACGTAACAGTTTATCCAAACGCAAGGAGCTGTTAGCGAAAATGCTAACAGTAGCTTTACCAACGATAAGTTCAAGTTACCAAATTTAAATAAACCAAAAACACCCAGCAAACAGACCAGCACGGAGGAGAGACTGCTACCACCAAAACAGCTCTCCTCATGTCTGAAAGAAGCTCCTTTATGAAGGGAGAAACGCTCCCTGTGATTTTCTACATCTACGATAGAGACGGAGCAGCGCATCTGACGCCGGAAGTTGTTTTCCGTTGCCGGGAGACGAAGGCGGGCAAAACAGGAAAAGAATCTAGTAGAGGACGGACATTGTTCCAGGTCTTCGGTATTTGGTGGAGATGTTAGTGAAGGTGGAGAAGATGGCGAACTAGAGGAAAAAACAGGCAGATTCCTCCTCTATTTACAAACTCCTGGGGATACAACAAGTGGGCGTGGTGCGTCGACTACCGGATCTGACGTCGACGAATTTTTAGAATCGAGCCGTCAATGTCATCGAGGCTTCGCTACAGCCCTATTCACTGAGAAACCATTTTTTACTTATTGTTTTTGAAAATGATCACTCTGAGTTTAACATGCAGGCTGAATGTGAACATTATGTCCTACACCTCCTGCATTAGCTACTGATAGAAAATCTATGGTGAATTGCTAGGATCTGGAAAGCCTGACAGATCTACATCACACTGTCATGGAATGTTCATGGACTCACCCATCTTGACTCACGAAGGCTTTTGATGGTTTAGCGTCCAGAGAATGTCTCAACTAGTGAAGGCTAACTGTTAGTATTAGCAGCTCCATCACACAGCAGAACTCCTTCAGGCTTGCAGAGCAAGTGGTAGTGATCAGCGGTAGAGTCGCAGTGCTGTTAGCCAGTCCAAGGCGAGATGTCCATATCAGGAAATAAGATTCCAAATCCTGTCTTCTGAAGTTACTTTCTCCTTTGGCGGAATTATCTGTACTGAAACAGGCCCGCCGGAGCATTTTTCCCCTAGAGTACAATTTACAAGGCATTAGGGCTGCACAATATATCGAAAAATTATCGTCATCGCGATAACAGGACGTGCGATAGGCCCATCGCAAAGCACG